GGGTGAAAGACCCGAGCTAACATGGAGTTAGCTCGTTAAATTACAATAAAGCCTCATGCAGTTTGCAGCAAGCTCTCGAATCTGCCTGGTGATTGGGGTGACCAAGGTCGTGGCCTGGGACCCCGGATACTTGAGCTTTCTGGGGGTCTAACATTGGGACAGGAGACTGGTGTAGCCAAAATGGCTGAAATATAGGGCCCAGAGAAGCTGGGGAAGGGAAAGCCCAGCCCAGTCCCTGGGCTGCCGAAGTTTAGGGTAGGGGTGGAGTATGCCAGCAGGAGAACCCTGAAACAAGTAGGGACTGAGGGATGCTGGGAGAACCTGGTGGCCAGTGTCATCTTTGATATGTTAATAGACACCTCAGTTAGCTATTTGTCCCCAATTTGAAAGCTAACAATTTCATCTCTATGTGATTCATCCTCACCATTCCTGGGGTGACTTCTTCAGTCCATCTATGTGTGATCCATTCTTGACGTTCCTGGGGTGACTGGGTGTGTGAAGGTCTGGCTTTCTTCCCTATAGACCTCATGGGCCAATCAGAGAACATGATTAATTAATAGGTTTTTGCCGGGTGGTGGCACACATCTTTAACCCGGGAGGCAGAGGCAGGTGGATCTCTGTGAGTTTGAGGCCAGCTAGGATATTTGATTATACTGTGAAACTCTGAGAATGGAGAGATGCACAGGAAGGAGTAGGGAGGGACTTAGAGATTCTGAGGCCTTTTTGGTTTGAAACTGAAGGAGAAATGTTCTCTTGCTGGGTCTCCACCCAAAAGGGAGAGTCAGCTGGTTGCTTCGATTTCTGAGTCTTTATTGGTAAATAGAACAATTTAGATAAAAACAGTCTACAAAGTGAGTCCCAGTACAGTCAGGGCTGTTACATAGTGAAATCCTGTTTTGAAAAACCTAAAAAAAAAAAAAAAAAAAAAAAAAAAAAAAAAAAAAAAAAAGTTTTCTGCGTCCCCCTGCCCAATAAGTTTCTCCACTGATGCAGTAATTGATCAAGCTTAATTGAAAAAGTATAACAACAGGTATATCGAGCAGAGCAAGTCCCGGGTGAGTTCTCTGGTCCCAGAGATCAAGGCCAGACAATAGAGGACCCAGGCCAGGGCAGGAAAGTTTTATAGATTGCAGGTAAGTGGTGATGATGTATTCACCACAAGCTGGGTTTGTGCCCAAGTATGGTCAAAAGCTGAGTGCTTATGTGGGCACTTGGGCAGCTGGTGCAAATTCGGAACTGGGCTTTTTGGTGCCTTTTCTTTGTTGACACTCTCTGAGCTGGTGAGGTTTGGAGAGAGAGAGAGAGAGAGAGAGAGAGAGAGAGAGAGAGAGAGAGAGAGAGCAGAATGGCACTTTCCAGACCATGCAGGAGCAAGCTATTGAACATTAGTGACATTTGACCTTACATCTTAGTTGGAAAGCATTCATGGCTAATCCTCATCCTACATGAAACAGCTCAAGCCAGTTGACACTGGGATTGATGGTCACTGGGGTGGAGTGAATACCTCCTTTTCTTTTTATGCTTTTAAAAATTAGTAAGTGTCCTGGCTAGTAAGTAGTATGTCAACTTGACACAAGCTAGAGCCACCTGAAAGGAGGAATCTCCATTGATAAAATGTCTCTATAAGATCTAGCCGTACATTTTCTTAATTAGTAATATTAGCTGGTGATCCTATGTTCTGTAGGAAAGCAGGCTGAGCAAGCCATGGAGAGCAATCCAGTAAGCAGTACTCCACCATGGTCTCTGCATCAGCTCCTGCCTCCAGATTCCTGCCCTATGTGAGTTCCTGTACTGACTTCCTTCAGTGATAAACAGTGATATGGAAGTGTTAAGTTAAATAAACCCTTTCCTCCCCAACTTGCTTTTTGGTCATGGTGTTTCATAGCAGCAATAGAAACCCTAACTGTGACAATAATAATAATAATAATAATAATAATAATAATAATAATAATAATAATAATAATAATAACAATAGCAACCCTGGACCTAACCAAACAGTAGGTCTGAGGACAGAACTCAACTAGCAGGTTGATTGTTAGGGTTTCATAGTCCTTAAGAAGATTAGAATTTCTGAGCTTAGGTTGGTAGCTCAAGTGGTAGGGTGCATGTCTGGAGTACATTAAATCCTGGGTTGCATCCCCAACACTGCATTAAATCTGGTAATAGTAAAGGACAGTAATTCCAGCACTGGGGAGGTGATGGCAGGAGGATCAGAACTCCAAGGTCATTCATGGCTATATAGTAAGTTTTGATAAGAATGGTCTTCATAGGCTCATAGATTTGAATGTTTGGTCACTAGGGAGTGGCACTATTTGAAAGGATTAGGAAGTGTGTCACTGGGGCTGGGCTTTGAGGAACAGGGTCAGCCAGTGGATCAGGATGTAGTTTCCAGTTGCTTTTCCGGCATCATTCCTGCCTCTGTGGTATCCTTCTCCCTGCCATGATGACAATGGACTAAACCTCTGAGACTGTAAGCCAGCCCCAATTAAATGCTTTTTTATAAGAGTTGCCCTGGTCATGGTGTCTCTTCATAGCAACAGAACACTGTCTAAGACACTGAGATACAGGAGACCTTGCCACAAAACAAAATAAAAAACGTGTTGTAAGCGGTAACCAAAGAACTATGGGCAGGGAAAATAGAACCTTTATAGGTTGCTCAATCCTATTTTTCAATATAAAAATGCTACACTAGGAGTTCATTTTCAAGAAAATAACTTGACCCACATTCAGCTTCCAAATCAAGTTATGCCCTAGAAGTTAGTTGCTTGTTCTTTTATTGGTTGAAATAACTTATAATTTGTAGTTCCATGTTAAACTTTTAAATTTCTTTTGATTTCTTGCTTTAGTTTTTGGGAAGGCAGCTGTAACAGAGAGTATATTTATACCTCAGGACTCTATTTTTATTTAGCAAAAGTAGCTTTTATGTTATGATTAACACTAAGTATAAAGGTTATTATTATTTTATTTTATTTTTTGGGGTTTTTGAGACAGGGTTTCTCTGTGTAGCTTTGGAGCCTATCCTGGCACTCACTCTGGAAACCAGGCGGGCCTCAAACTCACAGAAATCCACCTGCCTCTGCCTCCCAAGTGCTGGGATTAAAGGCTTGTGCCACCAACGCCCGGCCGGTTATTTTTATATATAATTGAACATTAAACTAAATAGTTTAGGGGCTGGAGAGATGGCTCGGTGGTTAAGAGCATTGGCTGCTCTTCCAGAGGACCCAAGTTTATTTCCTAGCACCAATATTGTGTGGCTCACAACTGTCTGTAACTGTAGCTCCAACATTGTCTTCGGACTTGCACTCATAAGCAAATATCCACGAAAAACTAACACATATATACATACACAAAGATAAAAATAAATCTTAATCTATATTAACAGCAATCTAAACAAAGCAAGAAATGAAATTTGGGGCTGGGGGATGGTTCTGTTGGTAAAGTGCTTGCACTAGAAGCACAAGGGCCCATGTTTGATTCCTAGAACCTACATTAGAAAAAGGCCATGTATGGGCTAGAGAGATGGCTCAAGGGTAAAGAGCACTGACGCTCTTCCAGAGGTCCTGAGTTCAATTCCCAGCAACCACATGGTAGCTCACAACCATCTGTAATGGGATCTGGTGCCCTCTTCTGGCCTGCACTGTATACATGATAAATAAATA